TAAACTAACGAGGAATGCTCAATTGGTCAGTCCGGCCATTTGTAATGAGGTGTAGTCCGCTGTACTCGTCTTGCGACGCTGAGCTCAAATCCGTTCTCGGTATCTGCGGAACGATTCTCTGAAAGAAGTTACGAGGGATTCTTCTCACTGTGGCTTTCTCACTATGGCGCCCTCTACATCCTCGCATCCCGCTTGCTCACGCTCACGTTGAGCCGGTGAGGAGTTTAGATGTGGTACTGGTGGTGCAGTGGATAGCACGTTTGGTCTTCATATGTAAGGTCAGATGTTCGAATCCTTGGGCGCATTGGAAGACTTTTGCATTTTTTCAGGGCTCCTCATACGAACCCAAAATGTGTTTATATTTGATAATTTTGTTGATTTGCTTCTCCCTTTTGCATCTGTTTTGTTTTGATCATTTTGTGAGGGACTATCATATTTGCTCGTATAGCTGGAATAACTTTTCGAAATATTGTTAATTTAGAGTCTTCTGTGTGTCAAAGTTCATCTTAACGAAGAACCGAAAAAAATGAGCACGAGAAGGAGATTCCAGAGTCTGCCCTCTCCAGATGTAAAAGGGGGACGCAAATCGACAAAATATCCAAATATAAACACATTTTGGGTTCGTATGAGGAGCCCTGGAAAAATGCAAAAGGTGCCATGCGCAAGGATTTGAACATCTGACCTCACCAATTATGAAGTCAAACGCTTTCGGATATCGAGTGCTATGAGTGATAAGGAAGCTCATGGGATAAACAACCGCTAACAAATCGGGTAGCTACAGGATTTGAGCTATCAATGTTTTGCAATGGATAGTTGTGATAACACTCCAACGGCTATATAAACACCTGCTTAGCACACTTCCGTCATTCCACATGGTGCTGCAGTGGCAGCTGGAGGGCAGTGGAGGGAGGGAGGGGGTGTTTGAGGAGGGTAGGCGGAAAACCACCCCCAACAGGCCTAGGATGCAATTAGCTTTCGTAAGGTGATTTTAGGCCGTAAAGCGTACGCTGTGAAAGAAGGTCCCGGCGGTTGGCGGGGGACCAACCTGGCATTGTAGCATCTAGTTAAACACAGGATGCAGGTGGTTTAGAGTCTAAAGGTCTATTACCACCTGGATCAAATCCCTTTTTTGTTGCATCAAACCTTTCCTGGTTCCGTTCATCGATCTGTTTTCATTAGCAATAAAACTGTTTATTTTGATACCGACATTTCACGCCATTTTTTAATGAACTAAGCTCTTCATAGATTTGCGCATTGTACAATGAAGCAATCAAAAAAGGATTCACAAACGGTTCCGCGATAAAGTCGAAGGCGAGGAAAGGGAAGCTCACCTAGTGGAAGTACAGGCGCTAACCACTCGCCGCAGGTCTCTAGCCGTTACCACAGAGAGAGCGTTAGCGTTGAAGAGGGCAGCACCGATGAGAGTCGCATCAATGCGGAAATCAACGGGCAAGGAAAGGTCCCATTTCTCGGGTTCTGGGCCGTTTCTCATGTTTTTTCTTCATCCCGGCGCCATTGACCACCTCTGATTCTGATGGGTTGCCTTCTAATCGTAAACTCCGCCTTTATATTAGGCATGTATATTTTGAGGAAGGCACTCATTAGATAGGCTCATGTGTTTTGGAAGCATCACATAATAAATAAGGGTCAATCAATGGTAGTTAAAAAAGCAATGAGTGAACTAAATCTTTTCAGAACTTATGCCCAAGGAAGCAAAAAATTTCCTTACCAGCCTCTCTAAAAGCGACAAAGCTGCAATTATGGAGATTGCCAAGAACTGTGCCAAATATAACACTGAGGAGGAGGTAAAGGAGAAATGAACGAACTGTTTCTTGTTTAAGATGCGGGAGTTCACTGATGATTCACTGACTTCAGGCTTTGGCTGCACTGAAGGAGAAAGCACCAGAACTTGGTGAAAGAGTTGAAAAAATCCACGACACGTTGAAGAAAAGAATTGAAGCTCTCGGACCTGAAGCAAAACACTACGTTAAGGAGGTTAGGAACGTTTTTTAGTGCTCACTGAGCTCTGGACTCAATTGTTGCTGAAGGATTCCTCAATAAATCGCCGTTACAAATAGCACCTCCCACTTTTCAGATAATTGCCGTAGCACGAAAAATCCATGCTTCCATTGCTGAAGGCAAGAAATTGACTGCGGTTGATTTGAAGGAGTATGCACAGAAGGAGATTGAAAGGTACAATGGGACTGCCGGAGTCGGCGAAGAAGGAACTCCAACGAGCGTTCCCTCTTGTCAATTCAGTTTTGAGGAGTAAGTTTTTAGGCAGAAAACGTTTATGTGGAAATTCGAAATCATTCAGTAAATTTCATTTACAGGCCCGAAAATGCAGAAAATGTTAAATAGCCTGAAGACGAAGCCTTAGACATGTCGTCATTGCCGAACTTACTTCCATTATCTATGTAACGTTGACCATGTTGGTTCGAGACACCTCGCTTTCATCTCATTCACTGCGATTCCCTGAATAAGACGCGGTGTGAAAATATTGTCCGGCAGAGGTAGACCGCAAGAGTCAAACACTTTCATGCGTTGACGGTGAAGAGCTGCTGGGTTAGCAAAGTAGCTAATGATCAAAAATGAATATACCTTAATGCGGTGACGATAGCGCAGGTGTTGACCTTTTGGGCTCCTTGGGACCGGGGCGATTTCTCGAGAGCTCAGGCACAAAATGGCACCAGTTTGGCGCCAGCGCTAGAAATGGATCGTCCATATTCGAAATCAGGGCCTCAAATAACCCCTATATGCAAGTTTACAGCGAATTTGATGAGCTTCAGTCGGGGTGCCATCTGGCGCCAGCGCTAGAAATGGATCCAATATTCCAACAAATCAGGGTCCTTGATAACCTCTACAGGCAAAGTTTCAGCGTAAAGAGCAGAAAATATATAGAGTAAACTAAACCAAAAAGCAACAAGGTGGATTTCCCTCTGGGACAATGGCATCCACCGGTGGCTGCCATTTCGCAATCGCCTCTGCCGGCGCTGGTCCGAACGGGCAGACAGCGATAATCCCGCGCGATCGCGAAGAGGTTAAACAGCTCTTACTGCAAATGAAATCAATAGCATTTTTACTTGTGTCGTTAGATTAGAAACACATATTGCCATCCACAGAGATTTATATCTGTTTCTACCATGTTCTTTATTTGATTGATTTATGACAATAACACGAAGACGAACAGTGAATTGAACTGAAATCTGCGAGGCTTGGAAAACCTTCGTCAAATCAGATCCGGCACGATTTGGGTCAAGCTATTATCAATGTGTTAGTTTGTGTTAACATATTGGGCGACAGTTTCGCCGATACCGAGCAACACCCTGAAAGTTCAATTATTTGCGTAGATCTCAAGATCGTGGCGTATAGATTGTTAAAAGAAGCCAGTGGCCCATTGTAGTATTTGTAGATTTCAATACATAGTAGTTTGTTTTACCGAAGGTAGCTGTAAAGTATCCTTTTATGAAAGTTAGGCAATTTCTGCGTTCTGTATAAAACTGAGAGGTATTGCAAGTGTCTCTCACAATTACAATAGTACAGTGCATAACAAAAGCATGTAGACTTCCCAATATTTATTTTCTTATGAACTACTTTTTTCCATGCGAAGACTTTAGAATCGTTCAATTTTCAACGCTTCACAAGCAGCTCTGTTTTTTTCTTGTTGATATAAAACATTCTACCAACACTTTTCAAAAAACAGAAATATCCTTATATTAAACATTGGGAGCCTACAAAATACTATCCGTCGAAATCAAATTATTGGTGGCACTATCAGAAGTTTGATAAGGTTTAGCCATTTTTCGGCGCTGCTGCTGTGAACCAGGATCCGGGTACGTGTCTCGTTGAGAGGATGAGAAGTACGTTAATGACTCATTTGAACTACATATACTTTTGAAAATTACCGGTGCGTGTCCTACATCCCAAACACCATGCCTCATTTCCATCATTTTGACCCTAGTATAGACCTCGAAAGTCCTCCTCCTCGGGCCTTGGCAAGAATGTTCGTATCTTGTTCGGAACGTTTTTGAAATCATTGGAGATCGAAGAGTGAAAGCATCTTATTTTTTGGGTGTAGCTAGAACACTCTCTGGACATGGAGCTTTTTTTCGTAACGGTTTTTTCGCTTATGTTAAAAAGATACGCGCAGGACAATAACCCTTAGAATGATTTTTTGAGCGTCCCGTGTGCCTGAAATATGAAAAAGCGCAGGGTTTGGGTTTGCGATTTCTACTGAAAAACATTTTTGCCAGAGGTTGCCCATGTTTGGGTCGAGCATAACGTAGGCGTGGTTTTGATCAAAGAATGTTTGGACTGCAGTAAATTTAACTTGCTGTAAGATACTTCACAAATCAGAGGGTGTGCAATATTACAGCGCTTAGCATCGGTTCTAGCTGTCTGCTTTATGAGTAGAATTGGAACTGTCACAGTGCTAAGAGTGCTTGTCCTGAACGCGTGTTCGGCTACATTGACACTTGCTTTGTACACACATCGACTCAGAAGGAATGCTAATTATCAACATTCTTTTAGTCAATGCCCTTCACAAGGGTTGGCGTACCCTTACCTGAACACGCCAGCAAGTAAACCCAATGTTTCATGAAACTGTGAAGTGTTATAACCGAAAAAAGCCGCAAAAATATTGTCATTTCGCACTGTCCGGCACACTCCACGCTGTTTAGCGAACAGGTCACGTAACATGAAAGCAAAACTTTGTGGAGGTGCCCGGTGACGGAGCGTCGAGAGGAGTCCAGAAGAATTGGCATCGTTCAACTTTGGTTCCCAGCGCGGCAGCGTGAAAGAAGCGAAGCAGACGCGAACTAAACAATGTAACATAAATATTTTTTCGGCCCAGGTCGAGGTATTTGTTCTACATGCTCTTTACATATTAAATTTTTACTAACGCTTTTATATGGAAAACTGAATTTTCTCAAAACTTAGTTGTTCTTTTCCCGTTATGGCTGGTATTTTTTTTAAAGGTTCATAGTATGACCTGCGGCTCTAGCTTTTCGTTGTAGCGCGCCTTTCGAGCGCATTTAACAAATAAATAAATAAATAAGTAGCGTAATAACTTTGCATAGAATACAAGATCCTTCAGTACAAAGGTGTCGAGATGAGCTGAACCTTAGCTGTGATTGGTACACAATACAATACACCTAGTGACAACACTAAACAATGGTTAGTACATCAAGAGACAGCATTAAACACCAATTGGTCAGAAATCGCCTCTACGACCGGAATTGCATCATGGATAACTGCGTGATCTGCCCGTATGGAAAGGTAGGAGACTGTGCGCAAAGATCTGTGGTTTACCAGCTCCAGTGTTCAACATGTAACGCCTTGTACATTGGAGAAACTGGGAGACAGTTGGGTGTACGTATAAAAGAACATCTGGCTAGTAAACGAAGGAAAAGTTTGGTTGCAGCACGTTCGACAAACCAGACGAGAAATGTCATGCGGGTTGTGACTTTGACGTTAAGTGCACGAAACTGGGCGTACGAGAGCGATATCGGCAGCTAAGGAAAACTCTTGAGGCTTTCTGGATAAAGCACGCAATTCGTGTATGAATAACAGGGATGAGTGCATCTCAGTAACTGATGATTCCTTGTCGTACATTCCGCTTTGTGAGCTCTACATAAACGTAACGTCCTGCACTAATGCAATTTCGCAAGCAGTGCATAATCGGTCGTCTTATTTGCTCCATTGTTCCCAAAGCTGAGCGGTCGACTGTGGAATTAACGTGAATATCGTTTTTCAGAATTGTACTCGACTGTAAATCGCACGTGTAGTTTTTACTTTCAGCAGGAGTAGGTTTGTTGTTGAGCCTGTAATTACACATTGCCAAGACTTCGATATGCTCTCGGCTTCATTATCGTGCGAAATGCGAAACGGTCAGCCATAATTCTACCGTAAAAACCTGTCTTGCACAGCGTAACAAAACACATATTAAAACGCCGAGGTTTTAAGAAGACGAACATGAAGACAAATCTTTGCGTTACTCTCATTTCCACTTTTTTGGGCTAATATAGGTCTATGCTTACCCAGTGACAGACAGTCTTCAAAAGTTCCAATCATCAGCGCTGGACGCATGCTCAGGTGTTAATTGGAGATGGGAAAAAACCTTCCAAGAAAAATTTTCTGCCTTTTTCTGGCAATCCCATGAGCGGTCAGTAAAAAATTATCATCAGTTTTATGCTCCACGGACGTGCCCCTATGACATGCAACAAACCGTTTTGAAAAAACGCTCCATGTCGGAGTTCTCCTCCTTAGTGGTCCCACACTACAAAGTCGATTTTCTCTATCGAAGAATTACATACTGGAATAGTCGATTGCGTGTCATGAGGCGACTCTATCATTGTGTAGGTCATTCGGTGACGCACAGTAAGGGTGTCCTACAATACCGCTCACAGAATGTGAAAAAATGACGGTGATTGACCGTCGCACCTATCAAAGACCGTCGCACTACCATAACTCCGCTGAAAGCGAATGAAACGGAAAAATTTAAACTCCTATAGATACGTCTCCTCACAACGAGTTCTAGGATGTGTTATGGGTCGGGATCGGCTAAGTAGGTCACCAGCTTTACCTTTTAAGCTGGGCCAAAATCCAATTCTGACCTCAAGGTAGAACACCATTCGTTAGATCCCATGTTTATGTGCACAGTAGTCTACCGCTCGCACACTCCTCCTTTTTTGATGCATTTTTATCCATGTTTCACAGTCGTTCCCGATGCGAACGAGCTCTTCAATTTTACGACATTTCCAAATTTTGAAAGCGCATTTCATCAAAGTCTGGAGGAAATACGACGAAACGGCTACAAGATCTTGAACTAGGTATGTAACTGCGCAACAACTTTGTTGTTTATTGGAATGCAGCAAAGCGGTTCTTACATAATTTAGCTCTGAATATCGGTATACGTCAAATTCTTCGAGCACAATCACTTTTCTTTTCTTTCCGAAATTGCGCTTAAGCGAAATGTATGACCAACGATTCGAATGGTTATTCCAAGAATATGACATATTGTGCCGTATAATGGCAATAATGGCTTATGAACAAACGTTAAGGTAAACTAGATAAGAGACAATACCTCACCCTTTGAAAAAATTTACGGACAGAGAATACAGAACTAGTGTTGAAATTCATACAGTTGTACTCGCGTGATGAATGCTATCCGATGATATATAAGTTATTACCCAAAGACTACTTTGTTTTTACTCGTTTTTTTCCTTCGTGATCGCTAGCCAATGACCAATCGCTAGCTGACCTCGTAATTACCCTACGCTGCGAGGGTCAATGCCTCGCGGTGTTATCACTCCTCTTCGAGGCATGTTCGGCTTCTGAATACCGCTAAGCGTCGTTTTTCT